TTTTTTGTGTAGAGAAACAGCTTCTGGGGTTGGTATTTCAAATATATTTCAATTTTCAAGCATATTAAATTTAAATGAAAAAATTCAAAAATGCAGAAATTTTAAATTTTTACTTACAAACGAAATCAAAAATTAGAACATAAATGCTTTTATTAAATACAATAGGGAAATGGTTTTATTATTTATTTTTTATGTACTAATAGTATTTATACATTATTATTTTTACATATAAATGCGTCTGGCAAAGTGCACCCTTAACTGCAATAGACAATCATCTATGGACAAACACACACACACACAAGAATATGCCAGCGCACGAGACACTCAACTGCAAAAAATCGCGATATCCCGGTATCTCCATGTCATCGCCGACAATGCTTCGCGCATGCCAATTCGCCGTTGAATGCAAATTGTGCCGACGTGCAAATTTATAAATATTCTTTCCAAAAAAAAAAAAAAAAATCGTGTTAATTCCAACATATCTAATTAATTCAAATTTTGCATTCTAGAATATAAAACTACGATTATGAGAACTCGAAAGTGTTAATCGAAATAACATAATAAAGAAAACAAAACAATTGCTAACTGCAAGTGCCATATAAGCTTTATCTGAGTCTAAACCAGTGAGTTGAATAAATTTTGCATCTCTTCTTGCACAAAATGTGGCTGAAAGCGTTCAGTATAGTCGTGTTAGCGTTATGTGCTGGAGCGGCTGCGTCGAATTTGGACCGTTATGAAGGGTAAGTAAGCAGGTTAAAAGAACAAAAATGCATAAAATGTATATAATGTGTAATTAAATGTTTATGTTTAGTTGGGAAATAAATTATTAAAAAATAGTTTTTCAGAGCATCAGACTCTTTTTAATATTTTTATTTGTCAAATTTGAAAGTGTTTTAATTTTTGGATGGGTTACACTAAATTTAACTTGCTGAATATTTTTCAATTAATATTTTTGTTCGGTTATAACCGAATATTTCATACTCTTGAAACTTGCAAGGCGTATATCCAGGGAAGTACCTTCAGGTATATCCGTATACATAAGGTTTGTTAGTTATATGGTGCCTAGGACGAGTTTTCACGCGATTTTATTTATTCTAAGCAGGAATATCCTCCGTTATAAGAAAAATATGCTCTCTCATTTTAAAGAAGTTAACGCACATATTGGCCGATATATACGGTATAAAATCAGCCGGAAGTTCGAAAATCTTCATATTACGCATATGGGGCGCAGGGAAGTATTAATCCGATTCAACTATTACATTAACCAATATTTTCGGTAAAAAGTAAACTAAAAGCACTGATATAGTAATTCATTCTTAAATTGTATGCTGGAAGTGAAAATTTCAAATGGAATTTAAAATTGTATTATATAGAAAGTAGGCTGTAGTCCGATATCGGCAATTTTCACAATTTCAATTGAAAACATCAGAGGAATGCCACATACGAAATTTGAAAATCGGTCCGGTTACCAAAACCAGGCCGCAAATTTGGTTGTTGTAGCTTTAGTAATTTAGGAGATATGTACATTAAACTTAAAGAGGGGGCACCACGCACATTTTTTCAAAATTTGTTTGCGCATAGGTGTCCCTTGCTACTGCGATAAATAAAACACAAAAATTCCAACAAATTTTGTTTTAGATTCAATAAAATGCAATATCAAGTGAGCAAAATATAGGTGTATAAAATAGCTATATATATTGCAATTTAGTTATTAAAATATCATAAACGTTTATTTTGTTACTCATACGCTATGGCAACCAGAAACCTCAAACGAATTTAGCTCCTAAGTGTATATATGCATACATAAATATTTATAAAAATAATAAAAAAAAAAGTTTTTGCCAGCAAATTACAATTATCTAATATTGTAATACAACAATAAAGAGACATTAAAACAACTTGCAACAATGCTGTTTTTCTCCAAAAGCTCCGCCATAATCGCTACACCAAACGACCTTGGCGAATTCATTCACAAATTTTGTGCAATCAAAATCTTTATCAAACGCACTTTAATTCTTAAATAATCACATTCATAATTGGCAACCTTGCACGCTGTGCTCAAAGCGCTGCCAAACCACAGGGAGGAATACGAAAGACTTAGGACACAAACTCGCCGCTGGAAATTCATATTTGACATACCTTTGACCGCTTTAAAACATGTTGTTGTATTAAAATTTCAAAAAAAATAATAAACAAATTGAATCTGTTGCAAAATTCAAATTTTTGGCACAGCATGCTTATTAATTCTACCCAAAAACGCGCTCACTCTGCATTCACCTAGTGCTACACTGGTGACTTTGAAGCAAAAGTACAATTAAAAAGCATGTACTTTTTTGCAAACACCGTGTGCTTAAACAACGGGGAGCTGCTTATATATATATATATATATTTATTAATTTTTATAAATTTTTCCCTTCCTTCTGTTGCATTTCGCTTTGTTGTTTATCGACAAGCGCTTTTATTGCATATTAATATTTACTTTCCTTGCTTTTGTTAAGCCTTTGCCGCTAACGGAGATGAGTTCGAGCAAACAAAACACACGTTTCTTATACCTGCTTGCTTATTTATGCTTTTGTATGTAAATATCTCATGCAGCTAAGCATTTAAATATGCTTTGTAAGCGCTCGGGCACACATAACAATTGTTTAGCGCATTGTTGTTTGTGTAATTTCAATGTGGAAGCAATTGCTCTATGCATACTCAGCAGCTTAGAAGCTATCAAACTGCAGTTAACCACTTAGCGATTGAGAGAAAAACTCAAAATGCATATCACATATTTATATCATTTTTGCGAGTTTATTTAGTGACGTTGCGGGTTGTTGAATATTGTATTATACCTTGATATAAGAAAATAGATATGTTGTTGTGGGTTAAAAATCTCATTTACATTTTATCAGATGAAGATGAAGTGTTTATGCATCGTCTGAAAGGAATTTTTGCTGAGCCATTATTATGCTCTGAAAATTATTTTATTATTCTTTCTTCTGAGTTAGTCAGAAAATGTCGAGAAAGTGTAATTATTAACTCAAATTATGTGTCAAGAGCTTGTTCCAACCCAAAATGAATCCGAAATAAATAAAATTTACTCGCACTACTCTTGTGTACGCCAGCATCATACTTTTAGACCTATGCACATGATTACGTCACCATATGTAGGTATCAACTTGGAAGAAAGATTTGTACCGAACTTAGATACCACTATACCGTATATAGGTAATTTTGTACCAAATTTAGATATATTACTTTTTATGTGCCATTTTAATGCAAAATTTTCGTACCGAATTTAGATACCACCATTTATTATAAAGGTATTTTTTGTACCGAAATTAGAAATATTTGTTTTTATGTGGCTTTTAGTGTCAGAGTAATGCAAAATTTTCGTACCGAATTTAGATACCACCATTTATTATAAAGGTATTTTTTGTACCGAAATTAGAAATATTTATTTTTATGTGGCATTTACTTTGATTATTGATCTTATTATATTAAACATAGTTACTTTTAGTATAACTTAGTAGCTTTATTTAAATGCACTTTGTGTGGATCAATAGGAAAAATATTTGAAAATGATGAAAATCTGTTCAAGATATTTGTGAAACGACTAGCGGATCCGGCCACGCGTTGCTGTGGTCTACATTTTATAATGCGCATGGTTAATAGAGACAATCACGGAATATATTTTTGTAATTCCTCTAAACGCAGAAATCTGTGAAATAACACAATTGACAACGATTAAGAAGTTAAAAATTTTTTACATAATTTTTACTTTAAAATTTCAATTTGAGGAATTATCCGCAAATATTTAAAAACTTTACTACTTTTTAATTTATAAGTCAAAGTAATTGCTTCACTTCGTAACATATGTGACCAATAATAAGCTGTCGGGTTTGGCATTGAAATTTCAAGCCTAGAAATTCCCAAAAAAATTCCAAAAATCCAATATTTTTAATTTATGTATCAAAGTCTCTGTTTGCTCTGCTCTGCTTCATAAATTGCTAGGCACATTCGTAGTTAATTTATAATATGCACTGTGAATGCATACGTGAGTATAATTCCTTATTGAAAACTATAAATAAAATAAGTAAAAATAAATGAGCTATATATAAATAAAAAATAAAAAAAATGTCATTAAAAATGCAACGACTAATGGAAATTTTACTAAATATCCACTTATTTATGTAAATTAAGTTTAAATTAACAGACAGCATAAAATGAGATGTTTGTGTCGATATGAAGATGTGATAAACTAAAGCCTAACGCGAACATTTCTCAAGATGGCGCCGCATAAATGTTGTCGACCAAAATTTTTCACATTTTAAGATTTTAACAGCTATTTGCATGTCTTGCTTATATGTTATATAATTTATATTTTGCACATACATATAGGTAAATATGTATATTTTTGCATATTTAATTAACGTTGCTATCAGCGGAAGTTATTTATCAAGTTATCACTAACACATTAGTTAACGGGTAGATAAATAGTGGTGACCAAAGTGACACGTATTCCACCGCTTAAATATGCATAATTCTATATATATGTGTTGGCTTTGTGTATCATTATGTATGTATGTGCGACACACATAAGCTAATTAAAATCGGCTGACCTTGATGACACGAGCAACCATTTATGTTGAGAGTATTCGAAAACGGAAGTAAAATATGATCATTTATCATTTGCGTTAAGCATGAAATTCATTTCGCATATTTTAGAAAGGAAGTAGTGCGAGCTTGTTGTCTTAATTGCCGCACAGCTAATGACGGCCAGAATAGGCTGGCTTGAACAGGACATTTATTGACACTTAATCGTTCTGAAATTTGAATATTTAAACGAAGTTCTATTGTTTCTAGATTGAATGGCGAGCTGAATTATAAAGTAGCTTGCAAAATATATATGCGACTGTATTTATTCGAAATAAGCTAAATTTGTAGAGAAATAAATAGAATTGTCATCGCCAAAAAAGTTTTATCCCGAATCCTTCAAAAAACGTAATAATTCCAAGAATTTGTTTGACAATGTTATTGCTTTTGATATGTAGTAGTCGTTATTACTCGGTATTATTAAGTGAATTTTTGTCTGTAATAGCACCGGTGGCAAAAATTCTGTATTATAAGCTTTAATCTCTATAATCGAAACAAAAACATGAATGGGGTGGGGAAATGTAATGGCATACGAGAAACAAAGCTAATAATAATGGGTTACAACCTAAAAAGGTTTAAAAATATAGTAATTTATTCTCCAGATTCTCATAATAACGTCAACCAAATTTCTGAAATGTATAAAAGTGCTAAGCCTATGTGAGTACGTGTATTAGAGGGGACAGTTCAGTATTTTAAGACGCTGTGTACACCTCAATTACATTCTATCTATTTACGCAATAAAGCAGTGTTTGGCGGTCTAATCTTGACTTTGCCTTAAGGAACTTATTAACTGATCTTTTAGTGGCATAATGAAAAAATCTTGTTGATTATATGGAGCTCAAGTGGCTATTGGATAGATAATTAGTCATCCCCAGGCTTATACAGACCATTAACTCATCGGGATCACTCCGTTTCTACTTCTTCGCGAAAAATTTAAGGGATTGAATTTATGGAATATTGACACTTTTAGAATTCGATGTAAATCGCACACTGTTTAGTGAATTGAAATTTGGCGATCTAAAGTCTCTCCTAGAATTCGGGTTAAATTATTTGTTGATGTTTGAGTATGAGAAGACTACTGCTGCGATTTATGTTTTCAGCTCATTACTTAACCAACAAATTGAATGCTTGTCTGCGATTGCGTTACTTGATAGATTTTATAGTTACTTCATTATGCTTATCATACATTACTCCTAGCTTAGTCTTTGAATAAAGGTCTGCATGTGAGTAAGATAAAAAAAATCACCGAAGGCGATGCTAACGGGCTTGAAATAAACAAAAAATAAAAAATAAAATAATAAAATCAACAAAAAAAGGAAATATAAAAAATGTTAGAATAGGATATTGCTTTTGTTGTAATTTTGTTTCTTTATTTAATGTTTTTGTTGTCACTATAACAACTGTGTTGGTGTCTACATTGGCGCCATTAGTGTCAGCCGCACTTGTCTAGAGAGCGATCTTATTAAGGTTGTCTCAATTAAAAAGCAAATATTGGCGGCATCTTCATACAATTATATATGTAAGTATGTATGTGAATAATTGTACACCTGTTGTATGCCAGTTATCGTGCTCAACTTTTTTTGTTGGAGATCAATGATGTCGTGTTGACAAAATATATCAAGCATGAATGCAGCTCAAAGTCAAAGCAAATGGTAATTAAGAATTCAAATCCCAAATATTTATATATCTAAACGAATATATAATATTATATATATATCGTCAACTGAAATGCAAAATAACGTAACAACATTTTCGGAAATTTACAGTGACATGAATGAAACACGAAATAAAATGGAACAAGAGTGAAAAAAATTTAATATTGGTTAAACTGGTTTATACATAACTGAGCGCTGAATCTGAAAATATTGAACATATGTAATTTTATATATGTACTTTGAAGTAGTGAAACCTAATCAATATGACACTCAATTTCGAATTTTTTGATGATACGCTATTTTGCATTTCAGGTGACGATATATGTATATACGAGTATAATATTGTATATTCGTTTAGATATATAAATATTTGGGATTTGAATCTATATATGCACTTACTTAGTATATATCTATGCTTATCAGATATGGATATATGCGTGTGTGTGAAATTTCTTGCTACGCAATTGTTTGTTTTAGGTTTTTTGTTGCCTGCGTTGCACTTGTCACTACCGCTTGAGTTGCAATATTTTCGGCAGTTTTTCTTTATTTTGTTTTTTAATATGGTGTTTTTGATTTTGTGCGCTTGCGTGATTATTTTAATTCCCTTAATCATGACAATAGACATTTCGAAATTCACACTGTAGATATGTACGCTTGTGTGCTAGTCAGATATTGAAGCAGCAATTTCATTTACACAAAAGCGTGTTAAGCTGTCTTTTGTTTATTAATAACTTTTATGAAATTATTTCGAAATTTTTAACGCCACTATTGACAATATTTGTTGGTTGGTTTTATCTCTGTTTGTGTTTGTTTAAAATTATTTTATTTTTTTATTATTTATTTTATAATTTTTACAACTCTTTACACCAAAATAATCTCTTATTGACAATGCAATCCAGCGCTAACATTTGTATAATGAGACATTTATTTGTGATAAATGTTGTTAGTGATTTCGAACACATCTGGCAGTTTTGCGATTTAGAAAAATTTACGGTATACTTTATTAAAGCTTTTAAGCGCTTTACCTTTGATAAAATTAAGCAATGAAAATAATGATAACTTGGAAAGCAATTATTTAATTATTATTTAAAAATTTAGAGAAAAGCTGATTATAAAAATTTTACAAAATATAACAAAAATATTTATTATTGTTAAAAAAAATAATAATAACATTCAATGGAATTTTTTGTTTTGAAAATTTTCACTTTCAAATGTTGGCATCATTTTTGAGGAAATATGAACCGACGATTCTACTGGCCCATAACCCACACCAACTCATTGTTTTTTCTGGATAAACTGACAGCTCTTAAATATCTTCGGTATGCTTTTCGTCCCAAATGCAGCAATTTTGCTTGTTTAAATACCCAGGAAATAGGTCTTCTCGCTGAACAAAATTTATTTCGAAAACGTCAGCTCTCCTTGGAACTTTACTTGAAAGACAGGGGTAGTGTTGAATTAATTTTACTTAGTTTGGTCGTTACTACATATTACTCACAGAAAAATTTGATTTCTGAGTTTTATTAAGATACCTCGCATACTATCACCAATATATAAAGAGCAAAGTCAACTAGATGTTTGAAAATCGAGATATTATTTGTATGGGGTTTATGACAAATTTTCCCTCAATTTCATTAAGACAACTCACATATTTGCCGATATATGCGGTAAAAAGGCAACCGGAAGTTGGAAAATCTTTCTATTAGGTTTATGGGGACTAAGAGAATTTTTGATCCGACTCAGCAAATTTTTTAGATTTAGGCATACTATTATCAGAAATAGGTTTCTTCAAACTTCTATAATATATCCGACAGATTGACCGATATTTTCAATGAAAAGTTCGCAATCATTGAAAAGATAATCCAGTCAGTCTCGAGATATGATGTTGTTTCACCAGCTCCTATAAAGCCTTTTGTGACATTTTGGGTGCAAAATTGCATCGCAATTTTATTTGTTTCTAACATAATCGTTATATGGAGAGTGTGTGGGATTGTAATGCGAATTCATCCATTTTACAGGGTGGGTAGGGATGCTCGAAAGATTTGCCCCAAGCGAATTTGGAATCAATTGGCTTAGGAGATATGTACATTAAACTTATTAGTAGGCGGGACAACGGCCAGTTAAAAAAATCAACCGTAGAAGCTTAGTTATGCCATTGTATTATCCGTTTTCGATTGATTGCGTTTTATGAGCATCTGTAATACCAACGCTGTTGTCTGCCAGAGTGCCAAGGAGCATGTATCCCAAGTTTCATCAAGATATCTCAATTTTTACTCAATTTATTGTTTGCACAGACGTGTAGACGGACAGACAGACTGTCACTTGGTATTCAGCTCGTCTTGTTATTTATTTAGGTACTAGTGCTCTCAAGATTTCGCTTTTACTGAAAATTATAATTTTTTGGGGGATTGTGAATACATGCGTATGTGTAGAAATATATACAGTGAAATCTTCCATAAACAGACTCTGACGAATCAGCCTTTCTGTCCAGTCATTACAGTTGTCCGCATAGTAGATTGTAATTAATTAATACCATCAAATTTTGGGAACGGTCAATAATGTTAATAGAGATGTCCGCTTAATAGAGCGTCCATTTAATACAGATTTCAGTGTATTTCTTATTTATGAATTGTTTTGACCATCCTATCCTCTAAGTTGCCTCAAACTGGACACAGTGTGCTAAATTTTGCCGTGACCCGTAATTTTTATATATAAAGATGCCATATCCATCTCGATTAGTCGTAGGTGAGACCGTTAAGTAAACAAAACGAGTTGTAAGGGTATAAAAATATGAAAGCATAATATTCGTCATTATATGAATTTCGTAATCATTAATAATTTTAAATCTTTTTTTCATATATTTTGTAGCTATAACAAATACACAGTCTTCCACGATGACGAGGTTGCCTTCAACTATCTTGTCGATTTACAAACAGAATCAACAGAACTGGACTTTTGGCTGCTGACTCGCAATATGTCCGTCGTCACAGTGTCACCAACAGAGCAGTCCACATTTGAGGCGCGATTGAACGAACTGAATGTACAATTCGTGTCCAAGCCGCTGATGGAGGAGATGTGAGTCCACGAAATCGAAAACAAAATTTGTTTTTTTTAAATTAATAAAAAATAAATATACATTTCAGGTCTGCTTTCAATGAAACCCTCGGCGCCTGTGAGGGTTCTGAATGCGAGCTAAATCGCCCCAGACGACAGGCGCGCGGTTTCTTCTCGCACTTTCCACGCTACTCAGAGGTTCGTAATAATGAAAAGAATTATAAGTATTTTTAACAAAACTTATGTTTCTTAAAATTCCATAGGTCTTAAATTATATGAGCGCTTTGGCCGCCCGCCACCCGCAAAATTGTCGCTACGAATCGCTTGGTCGCTCCTCTGAGGGTCGCCACATAGCGGCGCTCTCCATATCGCTAAACAGCCGAGTGCGTAATCGTCGTGTGGCCTACATACAGTCGGCGACACACGGACGTGAGTGGATTACACCGCTAACTGTGCTTTATTTGGCCAATGAGCTGTTGAATAATTTGCGCGCATTCCAAAGGGTGTTGCAAGATGTCGAAATTTATTTGGTGCCATTGGTCAATCCGGATGGTTATGAGTACTCTTTCACGAATGTGAGTTGAAGGTGAAATATTTACTGTTTTGAATACATATAATTATAATTTTTTTGCGCTAGGATCGCTTTTGGCGCAAGAATCGTCATCGCTATGGTGGTCGCTCCTGTGCCGGTGTGGATATCAACCGTAACTTCCCGAATAACTGGAACTATAATGGCGCCAGTCAAAATGTGAGTACACTCTTTCACTGAAATATTAAAGCTGCGTTATTTTAATTAATTTGTTTGTATCTACAGCTTTGCTCCGAAGTCTACTCCGGCACTGGTCCCACATCGGAGCCAGAGACAGCGGCAGTCGCACGTTATTTGGAATACAATCGTCATCGCGTGAAACTCAGTTTGGATGTGCACTCATTTGGCAAATTCTTGTTCTATCCTTACGGTTATTCGAGGTAAGCGAAAAACTCTGGTTTGACTCCCACCACCTATTCCATCCAATAAATATCTTCCTCAAATTATGATATTTGAAAAAATTTAATCTTACTAATTACCGCGATTTTCAATTGTACCCACACTTTAGGAATGCCGTCGCCCCCACCCGCAATTTGCTACATTCGGTTGCTCAACGCGCCGCCAACCAAATCGCCAAATACCGTGGCACCCATTACACTGTCGGTACTTCGGCTAGCATACTTTACGAGGCTTCTGGCGGCTTGGACGATTATGCTTACGGCAACTTGGGCATCCCTATGTCCTTCACGGTCGAGTTGCCCGGTGAGAATTTCCAAGTGGCGCCATCCGATATCATTCACATCTGCAAGGAGACATTCGCCGGCTTCATCGAGTTTATTCGACACGTTAGCTTGTATTAGTGTGAGAGAGGGGGGACTGCTGGCGTGTGCTGCAGTAATGTTGAATCTTAATTACTTAAGTAATGCAATTTTTTATGTCTGTGTGTTAATTAGTATATATTTAAGTAGCAACTTGGTGTACAATTTAATTTAAATGAAATAAATGAGGTTTCCTATATGAAAGAATAAATATTTTAAGTGTGTTTATATATTTTTATTGTGACAAAAAATGCCTGGAAATGTAAAATCAATATTTATCAATATTTGTTGTTGTTTGCTCTCTTGCCAGCTCTCTAATACTTCCGTGACCATTTTTAAGCACCATATCCTTCACTTTTTTTTTAATATTTTCATCACATCGAGAGGTTGAAGGTGGCCCAGAACGAGGCATGTCTTCAACGCACTCTCGACTGCCTTTAAGATCTCTATACTACTCGTAAGTTTGTGGTTTTCAATCACCGTAAGTGTCATTCAACATTCGCAATTTATTCGGTATTTTTAATTTATCTGAAGTCTGATAAAGTATTTTCATCAATTTAATACCAAGAAAACTCAGCCGGAAGTTATCGTATTTGAGATTTTGGCCTTTATAACTATTATTAGTTGCGGTCGATACAGAACACGGTCAATGAAACACGCTTTACTTGAGAACAGGGTAAATGACTTGATTCTCTCTTGGTTGCCAAGCCGGTGAATGCCCAAGTTTTCCAGAAGGATAAGACATTTTTATGACATTGCCCACCCATGCTTTGAATAATATTAGTTTTCCTTAAATAACCGTGAAATTTTTAGAAAAGAAAAAGTCGGAAATGTTGCAATATTTGCAAAAGCTTCACTCTCCTGACTTGTTTTGACTTGCCACTACTAACTAAAAATTACGTAGAGCCATTTGCAATAACAATATATGGAAGTACTTACTAATAATATAACAAAGGTTGATTGTTGTTGGAAGGTTTAAATAAAGCATTGAAAGCTCCTTACACGCTATAATAAAAAGCTCATTTAAAGCATATTAACATTTCCCAGATATGCTGCTGTTAGAACGCTGTTGCCATAATGTTATGTTATAGTTTATAGGCTACAAATATTTTTTTTTTATTACATTTTGTGAAGAAAGCAAAGCTGGTCTTTCTATTTTCCATTAAAATTGGCGGGGATAATTTAACTTAATAATCATGTTTGCCCTAAAGTAGGAAAGTTTGGCAGCATAATTTCTTCCATATAATTTGGTGTTTTATCGTTACTTAAGGAATTTTCGGTTATCAAGAAGAATTTTTCCAAACTTCAATTTTTGGAACAGACACAATCTTGATAACATCTATACCTTTCATTAATTACCGTCATCAAATATTCCACTTTTCCACGTTTCCATACCTAGCTTCGAAAATATTCTAAAAATATAATTAAAACAACATGAAGGATCCATTGTTACCGCATTGAAAATTTCGTCAGCATTCTTAACTTTAATATCTTGCCTACTACTCACTTCTACTGATAGACGGTACCGATTTCAGGACATTTGACACTATGGTTTCTGAGACATGCCAATAAGTTTTGAGACGCAACGGGATATTATCATTGCGAAAAGTGATGATATTTTGTGGACTGTATGATTAGATATCTCCACTTTTCATTTTAGTTAAAACCATTTGAAATTTTTTTGTATATTTTCGATAAAGAGCCTGAGACTTGGGATCATGTGATACATGTATGCGCGAAAAAAGTGCGCAGAACCCCAGGTTAATTAGGTCAAAAAGTCAATCCTATCATGAAGCTAACTTGGACCACTTACATCAAACTCCTATATCACAGATCATAAGACTCTTAAAAATATAGAAGTGCTTTGAGTCGATCACAAGGTTCTTGAGACGTCTGATATCAGTTTCAACTATGCGTCTTGGTTCGCCGAAGGTAGGACCGCCAAAACGGTTCATCCTCAGTCTTGCAAAGACTGAACAATGGAGGAGACAGTGTCTGGATGCTTTCGTCTCAATACAACTTAGGCAACTTGTGTCCGTCATTTGAATGCCTTTTAGACAGTGATTAGTAAGAACTTTGTTAATGCAAGTAATTCAGAAGATCTCCTGCATTCTACTCTAGGCCAGAAAGACCGAATCTGGTGGTTGTTCTGCAGCAAAGGAAAAATTGTACTACAAAAATGGTTCGAAAATTCCGAAGGTCGCTATAATCAGTACATCACCCTTGAAGGGAATATTGAAAAAAAAAACGAATTTTAGCAAAAAAGCGTTTTACTATTGAAAGCCGGGGGCTTGCATTTTGACCTATTATGAATCCTGTGATAAATTTATGATTAAAGTGAAATTATATGAACTACGTCCTAAAAATTATGATGTTCTTTTAATTATTTATTTAGAGAACTATATTAAACTCAGATTCTACGTTTCAATCAATTTCGCTCTTTCACATCTATTTTGTTGTAATTATTGGATTTGTAATTAAATATTTGTGTTTTTTTCATTTGTTGTGATTTATATTTTCTTTTATTAATTATGGTCCGCTCTATTTTTTCCGTGATCACACTATATTTGACTTCAACATTGATTAGATTACATCAGTGGCATAAATCTCAAAGTGTTTAATTGCTGATAAAACGGAACCGTAATTTTTAATTTTGCAGAAATTACGTTGATCCAAATGAAATAAATCACTTATCGCCATCTACCCTGAATTTTGTGAAACTGTTATCGATTAGCGGCATACTTAAGTTGTCATTATTTGATTTAAACGCTGATGATTAGATTATATTCTAATATACAAATTAAAGCCTTTAAGCGAAGAGTTATGTTAAAGATGTTAGGTTGGTTCTGTTTCGGTTTTAAAAGAGTAAATAGAAATATATTCTGTTTCTGTTTGCGAGAAACTTTTTGTGATTTTTAAAGAAATTGTAATTTAAAGCACCTCGAGATTACTTTCCTTTTTGATAAAGTATACACATTAGGACTGTGACTGAGGTGATTGACCCCGATCCACGTAGATGGAACACACGACTTAGTCCATAAATTGAATTTTTTAAACTTAAAAAAAGAAAATCATCACTTTATCTCTAATTGGGATTCTTCCTTGTTATTTAACTGAAATACCAAATATCTGTCAAATATCTAGGAATTCCAATTTCTTTTATGAGCTTATCATTTATTAAATGATTAGCAGCTCAGTTTGACAAAATTTTACCATACTAATAAATAAAAATTGATATAAAGTGGTATGACGTCGGTCACATATTTCGTTATTTTTGCTATAATTGTACCTTTTTGTTGGAAATCAGTTAGATTTCAGAACGCCATAAATTTAATATGCAATTCTCCGATTACTTCTGCATTTGAATTATTTTAATATAGATTTGCTCAGATATTACGTTAAATTATTTGTGATTAAAGGTTTTTCTTTCTATTGATTAGATTACAATATTCAAGACTTTCGGAGCCTATATATAGACGGATATTTTCTAAAAACATATTTAGTATACTAAAGTGAAGTAGTGAACAATGCTATTAAAAGCACTTTTGCTTGTCGCTGGTGTTGTGGCGCTAGCCAGCGCAGAAAAATATGATGGGTAAAAACTGTGAAAATATTTGAATATTTTAAAAGAATAGTATTGAAAAAGTGAACAGTGTATTTGAAATTAAGGTTGTAAAGCAGCATCCTGATAGGAACTCTAAACCTGTGGTGTAGTCCGAACATTTTTCTTAAAGTTTATCGCCAAAATGATATCTGAGTTAAAATGTTCTTAACCAGTGTTGGTTTTCATTAAATAAAAGTACCTCTAGGCATACAATTTAAAATTTATTTAAATTGCTAAAATATTTCTTTAAGTAAGAAAAGTTTTTTTTTATGGCAAATATACTCCGTAACTGGTTAGGTTAAGTTAAAAGGATGATCCTGTGGCAAAAGCCATTAAGGATCCCACATAGAGAACTAAGTATGCCTTCTCATTGGTATACCTAAATATTTGCACAAATTAATCGTAAAAACTCTCATAAATCGATAAATCGCTTTGAGTAGAGATGTTGTAACTTCCGTCTTGCAATAGCTGGACATTATAGGAGAAAAAGCTTGCTTATAAAATTAAACGTTTTGGATTAATCTCAACATAAACCGAAATATTATTTTATAATAACTAAAATAATTTTCTATACAAGTTAAGCATTAATCTATAACTAAATTTGTACACAATATTTTCAGGTATAAAGTTTATGAAGTGACTCCCACAACCGCTGAACAAATTGAGACTCTTATCACACTCTCTGCAGATGCAGATAACTTTGATTTTCTCTCTCTGAGTCGCATATCAGGTGATAGTGGCCGTGTGCTTATCTCGCCCGAGATTGAGGAATACTTCAAGAATATACTTGAACAGAAAAATATCAGCTATAAACTCGAAGATTCTAATTTCGGTCGCTCTGTGAATACTGAAGTCTTAGAAAACCGTCTTTTGCGTCAGTTGAAACCTTACTCCGGTACCGGTCGCCTCGGTACTGAGCGTTACTACACTCAGTCAGAAATCAATGCCTACTTGGATGACTTGGCTGCCCGTTATCCATCACGTGTGTCGCTCAAAGTTGTTGGCAAGTCTTATGAAGGTCGTACTTTGAAAACTATTACCATAACAAATGGCGACGGTCGCTTGGGCAAAAATGTTATTTTGATGGATGGCGGTTTCCATGCACGTGAATGGATTTCACCTGCATCGGCAGTGTATGCTATTGGTGAATTGGTAGAGAATTTCGAGGAAAATGCTGATCTCTTACAAGATTATGATTGGGTTGTGTTGCCCGTGGTCAATGCTGATGGTTATGAGTATTCACAGCTATCAAGCAGCACACGTTTATGGCGCAAGACTCGTCAACCGGTGACAATTAATGGGAAAACATGCTATGGTACTGATCCAAACCGTAATTTCGATTTCCATTGGATGGGCAAAGGCGCATCTTCGAATTATTGCTCTATTACCTACGCTGGCCCGAAAGCATTTTCGGAACCCGAAACTGTTGTCGTACGCGATCTTATTCACACGTACAGTGATCGCGGTATTATGTATTTGACTCTCCATTCATATGGTAGCTATGTGTTGTATCCATGGGGATATACCAGGTAAATACTAGTTGAAAAAACATGAAGTTGTTTATTATAATTGTAATTATCGCATATTCTTCTTATTCACAGCGAACTTCCGGAAACTGCCGACGATTTGCACGAAGTTGGTTTGGCTGGCGCAGACGCTATCAGAGCATACAGTGGTACTAGATATACTGTTGGCTCATCAACTCGTGAATTAGGTGAGGCTGCTGGTGCCAGTGATGACTACGCATTCCAAGCCGGCTTCCCTATTTCCTTCACTATGGAATTGCCACGTGGTGGCCTTAATGGTTTCGATCCACCAGCATCCTCTGTTGATCGTCTGGTGAAAGAGACTTGGGTCGGCATTCGTGCTATGGCAAAGAAAGTGACTGAGAAATATCCATTAGCGAAAAGCATTAACTTGTAAAAAATTAGGTGGTTTTTAAATAATCCCGAACTCTTATTGCTTCCTTAATAAATTTTAAAAGTTTTTTAAACCTTTGTTTCCATATATTTATGTTCTGATCACTCAGATTTGCTAGCCGAGTGAATTTTGTGTTCCACTAGTTGGTGGCTAATCGAAGCCCAGTCCGACTTCAATTGGTATGTTTTCAGAAGCGACTACTCTTTTTACAGCCTAACCAAGCTGCTCACAATAGAGGATGCATGGTAAAATTTCAAGTCTTCTGAGACCACAATTTTTAACTCTACAAACAAACAAAAACATTTTATAAACTTACAGTCTCAAAAATATTCAACAATTAGCAATAACTGTAGTCGAATCGTAGCTATCGAGCTGGCATGGAAGGGTGCTTTAGCTCCACTATCAGTACAATGGGAATGGATCGGTGCTCCACTCTCTTCATGTTTTCTACTGCTATATAGGGAAGTTTCGTGGGAGCTTAGCCAGCGCTAGGCTAACATCCGTTCATGCGCTGTCATAAAGTTCAATTGTAATATCTTTATGGAAGATGACGAGGTGCAAACATCTTAACACTTCCTTCTTGATTGTCCCGCGTTTGGGAGATCTAGTCTCGCACTTGGGAGCTCATATTTTCTGCTGTATCACTGAGCTGGCGGGAATAGAACTTAGACGTCTGAGCCACAAGGCGTACTACTATATTTTATGTTTTAACAATGTAGTCCAAAGGCGATTTTTACATCAGTCATCGAACCTAGCCCAACCTTGCGTCGATTAAGACAGGCGGATTAAGAGACAAGATGTATTAAAAAATGAGGAATCAACCGAAACCTTAGGTCTATTGTGTCCTCTCTTAAATCACCTAGCCCCAGTATATTCATAAAGTCTAATATGTGATCCCTATTTGGAAACATGGATCCAATGGACTTTAATCTGCGTCTGCAGACTGCTGTGTAGTCAATTAGCAGGTGTTCTGTTGTTTCAGACTCCCTGTCGCAGAACCGGCAATTTATGCAAGAATGTTGTGAAAATGATTCTTCAGCTTCTCAGTGTGAGTTTATCCCTAAGGAGGCTGATTGCATATTGAAACCTGCTGAGCTATTTGTCATGCTGCATGCCGTGTTGTTGTTGCCAATGCCTCTCTGCCTACCCCTTCCTTCTTTCGGAGCAAGTTCTTTAGGGTATGGGGACCTACTCCAGTGAAAGCTTCAGGTCGTAACATGTTGGTGGATGCTGCGGAGTGGGCAAGCTCAACAATTTTTTTCCACTCAACGGAAAAGTATTAATTGATGTTTGTTGTTGTAAATCACTATGAGCGATAACAAAGTTGAAGTTTACTCTCTTGTAGTAACGACAGTTCTCCGCCATATTTACTCAGTAATAGAATTATAATTGAGACAACGTGCTTATCGTCTAATTGGGCACTAAGATAAGATGAAGAGTGGTGCGGTTTGCAAGATGTTTGCGGTTTTCTACGATGTTGTATATATATATCGATAGAGCAAATGCTCCGGAGGCAAATCAGAAGTACTTAATTGTACCGAATAATTAACGATATGAAGTGGCGCGCGTGAACTGGCTATATTGATAAGCCCAGCTACTATCAATCAATCGTAGGGCAATTAAAAAAAGTAACAACTCAATATATAGCAATTGAGTACTTGAGAAGTTAGTCCATTATTGGAGTTTGGCTGTGAAGGTTGTGATAATAATGTCAGTAAAAGTTTTGCGTCTCTTGGCGCTTTTATGGGGGACTTTTCAGTTCGCTGCAGCGGGATCATATGAAGGGTAAGGGTAAGGATTGACTTTTCCGAAAAACCATTTACAGCCGAAAACTTAACGCTATTTTCAGCTACAAATTATATGAAATTGCAACAGAGACGATTGCTCAACGGAATGCGCTGAACGCGCTCGCCCAAGAGGATGCTGATAAATATAACTTCCTCTCCCTGAGTCGCTTGCATACGCAAAACGCTCGTGTGCTTGTAGCGCCCGCACATGATGAGAGTTTCCAAGCAGAGTTGCGTAATCAAGAAATACCATTTGAGTTGAAAAACACCAATTTCGGACGCACCATCCAAACTGAGGTGCTACAGAACCGTATGCTACGGCAAGCGAAGCCCTACAATGGTACCGGTCGTCTAGGTACCGAACGTTACTACTCACACGATGAAATCAATGCTTACTTGGACGATTTGGCGACACGTTATCCCACACGCGTATTCGTACGAATTGTGGGTAAGACCTATGAGGGACGCATACTCAAAACGATTACCATTACCAATGGCGATGGTGTTACCGGCAAGAATGTGGTTTTCATGGATGGCGCCTTCCATGCATGCGAATGGATCTCACCGGCCACTGTAGTTTATGCTATTGGTGAATTGGTGGAGAATTTCGAAGCTCACGCTGAGTTATTGCAAGCTTACGATTGGGTTATATTACCGGTGATGAATGCTGATGGCTACGAGTATACACAGTCGGCGAGCGCTTTCCGTTTATGGCGTAAGACACGTCAGCCCTTGACACTGAACGGTGTTACATGCTATGGTACCGACCCGAATCGTAACTTCGACTTTCATTGGATGGGTAAGGGTGCCTCCTCGAATCCGTGTTCGGACATTTATGCTGGCCCGAGTGCATTCTCTGAACCCGAAGCGGTGGTGGTGCGTGATATTATGCATTCGCTGCGCGACCGTGGTATTTTGTATCTGACTGTACACTCATACGGCTCTGCGCTCTTCTATCCGTGGGGCTGGGGACCGTAAGTAGTGATAAATGTTGTAAAAAACATATTGTGTAGATATGCATTTGTTTTATATCCATAAAGTGAGCTACCCGACACTTGGGAGGATCTACACGAGGTGGCTATGGTTGGCGCCGATGCTATACGTGACTATAGCGGCAGCGAATACGAGGTGGGCTCCTCGACAGCACTTTATGGTGAAGCTGCTGGTGCCAGCGATGATTATGCATTCAGTGAAGGTTTTACGCTATCCTATACTATGGAGCTACCTCATGGTGGGGATAGCGGTTTCGATCCGCCACCATCGGATATCGATCGGTTGGTGAAAGAGACTTGGGCGGGCATACGTGCGATGGGCAAGAAGGTAACAACCAAGTATCCAACACCAAAACAAACGTTATCATAATTTTGTCGAACAATACAAGGCATTTTCGTAAAAGAAATTGGAATTTACCGTAATAAATAACTATTTCGTATTTGCAGAGCTTTGAAATTCTTATCGCTTACTCTTTTTCATTTTGGTTCTAATAGACTTAGGTATGTACATTATAAATTTATTCCGCTACTAACCAGTTTATGACCTTAAACTGCACGGCTACGAAAGGGTTACTGATAATGTCGGGAAGCAAATATATACATACTGTGAAATATGGTTAATTGTATTATTTTGCTGTTGTTTTTGTAATTTAAGTGCTGCCCGCTGTGCAACCAGTAGAAATCTTCTGAAATTTACATAAAGTGTSACCTATTTAGGATAGGTTAGGTTGAAATTAGTAGAAATTAAGGCTAAGAACATAATGTAATCCATTGTAGAAACACTGATGAACTGAAGAATTGTATGGAAAAAGAACAAATTAAGAAGACTCGACAAAAATTCCTCTCTGTTGGAGCGTTTTTATAATGATCGGTGATTTAAGGGCAGTCACGAAGGTCTTGATTTCAATAATAATATGTTTTTTTTTTCGAAAGGAATAAGTGAAATCTTGTTGTTGTTTAAGTTGATTGTTTAAGTCGAGCGCACTTTTTACAACAGCTGTAACGAATCTTAAAATCTCGTGTTAGATTCAGAAATAAGAGAGTTCAAACGCACCTGATAGTTGATATCTTAGTTCTTATCAGTTTCTTTTGGATGGGATTATACGTTAATAACCTTCAAATATTGTTCTCAAAGTGACAAAAATGTTTCGAAGCTCTATGTGGGATGTATTTAAATTAGTCTGAGCTTGCACTAGATTTATAGAGTTCCATTGAATAGGTTTCTTGATGATTGTGTATACTTTTCATAAAAAAATTTTATTCGTTTGTATTTTTTGATGGGTTCTAACTGGACGATCTCAGTTTTTGGACTGTTTTTTTTTAGTTCTATAAGCAGGAATTCTATCGTTTTCGTTCGTTTAAAAATTTCTTTGAAAAATTTTTGTCTTGGTTAAAATTTCGTTCGTGAGTTACTTTATGGCATATTATTTAGTTCTATCAATGGATATTCAAGTATTGGCTTTAAGTATTGAAAGAATATACCACAATTAATACCTGTTGGTTCAACCGCAGAAATGAGAGAAAATGAGAGCGGGAAACGGGAAGTAATGGGCTTAAAAAAGGCAAATCAGTGAAGTTCTAACACAACTCTATGAGAGAACGCAGTAACGCCATAGACTTGGAACCTCAAACGATTTTATTTGAAATAAAAAAACATAAACATTCAAACTTCCGTTTCTTAACTGTATATGCATTTTTGTGTATCTCTTACCATTTTAAATCTACGTTTACTTGGTTTCTTTTCTTTATATGCTAATTTGTATTTCTTTATAACATTCTCCGCCATAGCCTTAATGCCAATCCAGGTCTCAGAAGCTAGTTCCTCAATTTTCGATAGCGGTGGGTCGAATTGTTGACCTGCGGACGGCAACTCCATGGTTACTGAAATGGGAATATGCGCCTTGCCCAAAGCATAATCATCACTGCCACCCGCAGCGGCATAAAGAACATTAGTCGTGCTGCCCACAGTGTATTCGGTGCCCGTAGCAGTTTTAATGGCTGCCGCACCGGCACGAGCAATATCATCAATGTCGCGCCAATGTTCAGGCAGAGCACTGAAAATATATTCCGTTGTAAGTTTTTAAAAATACCAAACTTTGCGTGATATGCTTACGAAGTGTAACCCCATGGATAGAGTAAATAATTGCCGTACGAGTGTAGGGTGAGATAGAATTTCGCACGACCGGTCAGCGAGTGCATTAAATCGCGTAACGCTTGCGTTTCCGGTTCTGAGAAGGCCGTTGGACCTCTGAAAGTGTCCGCGCAAGCGGTATTAGAAGCACCGACTTTACCCCAATGATAATCAAAATTACGATTTCCATCTGTACCGGCGCAAAGTAAGCTCACCGGCTTACGTGTTTTACGCCACAGACGTTCGCTTGTGTGACTGTATTCATAGCCATCGGGATTAAGAAGCGGCACAATAATCCAATCGTAGTTAGTCAATAAACGCGAGTTTTGCTCGTAATTCTCCACCAACTGCTGGATGACATACAGCGCTGCGGCCGGTGCAATCCACTCACGCGCGTGTATACCCGCGTCCATTAGTATGACACTCTTATTGGCAACGCCATCGCCGTTGGTTATAGTGATCGCGTGCAGTTTACGTTTTTCGTATGAATCACCGATCGACGTTACTTTAACGCGGCTTGAATATGTCTTGCTTAGTTCTTCCAGATAGGCTGTGATCGCGTCATAACGCTGATAAACGTTAAACGAAATGCTACCAGGTGCCGCATTCCGTTGTTTGGGGTACATACTGTTTAGCTTCCGTTCTACTTCAACGCTCTGGCCGAAATTCTCATTAACGATTGTGTAAGCGATTTGTGCCGTCTGCAATGTTTGCTGAAACTGCAGCTGATCCGCAGGTGCTACCAGAACACGTATTGGGAGCCCAAAAATGCGTGTAAGCGTGAAGAAGTCATATGCCTCATTTTGTGCCAAGATCTCAACGGTCTTCTGTTGTATGGCATTCTCAGCTGTGAACTCGTAGATTTTGTAGCTGTAGTTGTTAGGTAATGCAGATTTATTTTAAGAGATATATGCAAGAAACCCCATCTACCTTCTTACTTACCCATCGTAGCTTGTGAAATTAGCTAGCGCGTTGGTGCAACAGAAGGCTGCAATTACAACCAATTTGAGGAACATCCTTATTTTTATTGTGACCACTTTTAGTCACTTACACTAACCGGCCGTTCACGTAGCCGAACGATCAATTAAGTTTTCTAACTAATTTACTTTGCTTTTATAGTAATGTTGCATAAATGCTACACGCTCAAGTACAAGAGAGTACAAAATACGCAGTCACTTAGAATTCAATATGCGAGTGCACGTACAACACTATATTGCCTCCTGAACAATAGTTCGATTAACACATTACAGTACTTTGGCCATGTTTCTGTATTAAAAAAGGGGCGTGTGGTTTGAAAAGCGTCTTAAAAGTCCACTATTGCACTCAGAAAACACTTTTAGTTCTTAAAAACAGACAGCCATTTGTTTAGATAGACTGTCATATGTCTTGTGCTCTTCGATAGTGCTTCTTTAGCATTTCCACACACAAGCTGGCGCTTGTGAGTCACACACCAACTGACGCAGCGCTTTCCGCACTTCTCTAACCTTTATGTGAAGTAATTTAAAAGCTTTTCTTCAAATAACTGTACTTGCGGTGTGCACTGTTACTGTTTTTCCTTATCTGCCAATGTTGTGACATTGTTAATGAGTTGCTCTAATAAGTGTTGTGGTACCTTCATATATGCAGTATGCTCGTTTTTTATTCTTTGAAATCAAGTTCTATATATGTCATACTTGAAATTATGCTCGTTTCGATATTTATCAATCTTTACTTTCCGCTCCTGATAGAATCTGAAGTAGCGGCTATCTGTGAGAAATCGACAGTCTGTGATATGAAGTTCAAATCAATTTGAAATACTGACATAAACTACATATCGGATTTGTTTACTTGTCGATTAAGAAACTCTACATAATACAAGATATGGTATCACGATATGCTTTCGATGTAAGCCCCTGGTATCTAAGGTTTATATGAATGGAATAGAAGTAAGAAATATTGGGTGATTTAGTTTTAGAAGAGACGGTCTGAAGATTCTTTAAATAGTGGAGGTGATTGGAGGTGGTACTTATTATTAATTTTGCGCTCGAATAATATATTGCTGTTAGAAGTCATGTGTTCAGAGTCGAGCTATGCCAGTAGTCGTCCCGCCGATTTTGCTGTGCATTTTTCAACGAAGAGGTCTATAGGTGACAGGTTTAGTGCCAGTTCAAGAGCCGTCGTAGTGAGCCTTTGAACCCTTTTCAAATATGTTGTACTTGGTGCGGTCCTCAAGAGAGAGTTGTATCCGATTTATATACGGAAACCTCTATATAATGACTTCTTGTGAACGCAAGAAGATCCGTTCTCTCCAGATTCAACTCCAGACCCGCTTGCGATGTAATGTTCTAAACTGTATTTAGAGTGGTGGTCATAATACTGTTAATGGGCTGTGTTCACCTTTCCGTAATGCCACTATCTTTAGGGGCTTTGTCTTCCAGGTTGCTTAGCAGTTTATTCGCCACTAATGTCCGTAAAAGATAAGATAGCACTCCATCTTGGGGAGTATCTCTTTAGACGTCCTTGATCATTTTAGCGTCATTCCATTCTGCTCTTAACCGTCTAGAGGTCAAAAGGCTTCTGATCTAGCGTTGTATAGCATGATCAACACCTATTGACTGGATACTGTCCAGAATAGATTCCGTAGAAACGTTCTTGAAAAGTTCAAAAATGCCTAGGAGTACTCCAAGAGCGTATTATTCATATTCAATAGCCCCTTCGATATTGAATACTGCCCTTCGTATATGCATGCTGCGCCTTGGGCAAGCTTCAAAGAGGTGCTGCGCCCCTAATGTGCGTGTCCAAGATTTTCTCTACCGTTTTCAGCATAAAGGAAGTTAAGCTTATAGGCCTAAACTCTTGATTGAGTAGGTTTGCCTGTTTCTGCCTGCCTCCGGTATGAAAACTACCCTATCCGCTCTCAATGAGTGCGGCACTGATAGACAGACTGCATCCTGCAACATTGCTAGAATGATTTCGTCCGTACTTGGAGATTTGTATGCGTCGAATGAGCGGATTGCCCATTTTATTTTATTCTCCATGAAGATATATTCGGGAACGTTTATTGTAGTGCTCCTTTCGTTATGAAAAAAGCCAAGTCACTCATTGTGCGAGCTTGCATGGCTCAAAAAAGCCTGAAGTAATGTAAGTGTATACATATAATGCACGTTGCAATAAACCATAGAAAGGGAGAGAGCAGAAAGTAAGAGGTAGTACTGGTTTTTAAACACGACCAAGAAGAGAAGGTCTATCAATTTACACAATTTTATGGAAGAACGCAATAAATGCATCGAGTTGCAATCTGCAATGCTTTACAAATAAATGAACAATACTCAAAATTGTTTCCGTTTCTTAGATGTATATGTAGGTATTTATACGGCATACAATTTCGAACCTAAGTTTTTTTGATTTATTTTCTTCACAACCTAATTTTTATTTCTCTATAATTTTCTCTGCCATAACCTTAATCCCAATGCAGGTTTCAAAAGCTAGTTCCTCAATTTTCGATTGCGGTGGATCAAATTCTTGAGCAGCAGACGGCAACTTCATGGCCATAGGGACTGGTATTTTTGCTTTGGCCAATTCATAATCTAGACTGCCACCAGACGCGGGATAGAGTACATCTGTCACGGTGGGCAGTGCAATCGGTGCCCGTAGCGGTTTTAATGGCAGCTGTACCGGCATGAGCAATATCAAGAGATAGAACTTTGCACGACCGGACAACGAGTGCATCAAGTCACTCAAGGCTTGCATTTCGGGCTCTAAGAAGACAGAGGAGCCCCTAAAAGTGCTCGCGCAAACATGACTAACAGAAGCGGCGTTATCCCAATGAAAATCGAGGTTATGTCCGGTGCAATCCACTCACGCAAGTGTATACCCGCATTCATTAATATGACATTCTAGTTGGCAACGCTATCGCCGTTTGTTATAGTTATCGCGTGCAGTTGACGTTTTTCGTATGAATCACCGATCGACGTTACTTGAACGCGGCTTGAATACGTCTTGCTTAGTTCTTCCAGATAGGCTGTGATCGCGTCATAACGCTGATAGAGGTTGAATGAAATGCTACCAGGTGCCGCATTCCGTTGTTTGGGGTACATACTGTTTAGCTTCCGTTCTACTTCAACGCTCTGGCCGAAATTTTTATTAACGATTGTGTAAGCGATTTGTGACGTCTGCAGTGTTTGCTGGAACTACTCGTATTGCAATTATTTAGAATTAAATATGCGAGTGCACGTACAAAACTATATTGCTTCTTGAACAATTAACAATTGAACGATTAACTCATTACAGTACTTTATCCATGTTTCTATAATAAAGAAGGGGCGCATGGTTTAAAAAATGTGTTGAAGATCCACTATTACACTCATAAGATTGTGCTGGAGCCATCTTGTTCTGACAGAGAAAGTGCAAATACCAATTAAATTCAAGTTCTCTTAGGGTTCTATCGAAAATTATAAAAAATGCTTTGAGCTCTTAGTAAATCTAATATTCTATTTCCAGAGAAGTGCTGCCTTATTGGCAGACACCCCAGCAAACTGGGAATACTGTATTGTATTGTATAGAAAATGAAAAGAGATAAATGAAACAGCTACTATAGAAATAAGATATGTAAGATTATACCCTTACAATTTCGAAATAATTGGTACATTGGTAAAACTATTAAATTTTTAATTTCCAAAAATCAGTTTTTTGGTCTGTCTACTACTGTATACTAGGTGTGCTCCTTAAGTCCACTTGGTATCTCATCAAGTTTCATAGCCTCTCATAAGTCAGCAAAGTAAATGTTGTCGTAATGACAGTGATAACAGCAAAAGATCCATCCTCATCCTCGACTTTTCGAGTCGTATTTATAAGTAGTATATATACCATACACGTGTGCTGTAACTAAAGCACAACTCTTTAGGAGTGTGAACGAGTTACTTATTTTTGTTACGTATGGTAGAGTATAAAATTTTATTTTGAAAAAGCTCCATCTCCCGCTCGATTATCTCGTTTTAACGCAACTGTATAGATACTTATTCTGTGCCTTTGTCCACTTCACCGCCCACTCCTATCTGGAATGGAAGGAAATATTGAATTTAAGTTGAACTCCAAAAGATTGCGATAATCCGTGGTATTGGGTAGAAACGGAAGCTTGCTAAGTATCTTACATTGTCTCTTATTACAGACGTCTAATAAGGAGGATTCCCTAAGTGTAAGAGCTGACTTCGCTGCTAGTTGCTTACACAATAACCTGACATTCGTCGACTAAAGAGATTAGTAAGTATCCTAATCAGTTTCAAGAAACTTTCGATATACAGAATTTTAATAAATGTTTGTAGAGAACATTGAGCATTTCGATAACACTGAATAGCGAATTTTACCTGCGGAATAGAAGAAATATATTTTTACTTATAGATAAGGAGCCTCTTCAATATAAATTCAAGAAAAGTTTAGTACTTGCGGCATCCAATTATATGGTATGACGCAAGTGTTATAAAACTGAAAGTTTTTAATTTTTTTTCTCAATTTCTGATCCTTCCATATTTTGAATCAAATAACATTTTATGTAAAATTTTCGTTAGGTAAAAATAATTATAAAAAAAATCCAAGCAACTAAAAAAAAAACCAAAATTTTTAATTAAACGGTACTCTCATTAGAGCATTGTCATTGTTTGCCGAAATTATTTGCATAAAATGTGGGTTAAATGTGTAAGAACTAATTACTGCCATTGCTTATAAGCTTTGCTCCCCTACACCCACATGCACACATACACTTACGTGTCAGGCACAAAATTTCCATACGCACACAAAAATAGTTGGAAAGCCTGTCTAAATGCTTTCGTTGTTAGTCAAATGACAAAAGAACAATAGGCTGGCAAAAATATTACGGAACTTTCAGAATAGTTGAGCAAAAAAACAAAAAAAAAAAAAGAACAAAAACCAAAAAAAAAAAAAATAGAAAAAAAAGTTATAAATCAGAGAAAAGACTGTGAAATGGTACATTGTGCTCGGAGAATGTTTTATGTGTTTCTGAATGTGAAAATATGAAAATTAAACTATGCGAGTGCACAAGCACATACTTTTGTGAGGGAGTGTATATATATAT